TTTTGTTCATTTTTAGAGTTTGGGTCAATTTTTAAAAAATCATAGAGCCTTTGGATTTGCTTTTTTTTGCCATTTTTTTTTATATATCATCGAGGATACATGTTATTGATATATAAAAATTATCAAAATAGTTTTAAGAATTTTTTCCATTCAGTTATTAATTTATTTTGATTATTTTCGAGAAATTTTGTTCATTTTTAAGGTTTGGGTCACAAAAATACATAAAAGGCTATTTTTTTTGGCCCTATTTTTTTTAAAACTAATAATATGTTAAAATATAAAAAAAAAGGATTGCGCTTTATCGAAATCACATCCTGAAACACAAGCTTTTGATAGCTGAGTTAAACACATACAAAAAAAAGGGATAAAGTGACGTAACAAAAATCAGTTATACCTTCGGGTCTGATTGTGAAGGAGGAGAGACAACAGATTGGATCTCTGCTCGAGCAAGCTAACGACGAAGGGAGGCTATGTTCGTTCTTCTTTTCAACAATCTATCTTTACCATCAGCTAACTGACAAGTGCCATTGTCAAATGAGGAGACAACAGTAAATACTTCAGGGTGGAAATTTGTGTCAAGTTTTGAGAATTTATTGAGGCGTACTCTCATGACCTCGGTACCCACTGGGAAGGACTTGTCGACATACTCTTCGTCTCGAGTCATCACTACCAAAGCAGGAGTCAACGCATTGAAATCCTTTGTTTGCAAATTTCTGTCTTGTAGCTTATTCAATCTTTCGAAACCCAAGAGACGTCCCAATTCTTGCAAGGGATTGTTGCGGAGAGAACGTGGAGAAATACCATATAAAAATTCGTACGGAGAAATACCAAATACTGAATGGACTTTTGTTCTGTGTGCGTAAAGCACCGCCGGAAGATTTGCATCCCAATTTTTCGGGTCGTTTTCGCTGAGCTTCTTGATCGATCTTAACAGTTGATAGTTCAAATTTTCTACTCTTCCATGTGATTGTGGGCGATACGGGGTAGAAAACCTGTGGTTTACTTTAACCATGTTCAGAAACTTGTCTACCACTTCATTATCAAAGGATGACGCATTATCGCTCAAAATGTACTTGACCGGTCCGAACACCGAAAACAGTTGCATATACAAGAATGTGGCTATCGTTTGCGCATCAATAGACGTAGTAGCAACAGCGACTGGCCAACGAGAAAAGGATTCAACCGCAACTAAGACGTAACTATTTCCTGAGATAGAAGTAGGGAATGGACCCATAAAATCAACTGCGAACTCTTCAAAAAGGTAATTTACTGGTACCATACGAGCGGGGAGGTTTTGGTGGGGTACGGGTGCATATACGTGGCAAGAATTACAAGTACGGATAAAGTCTTTGGCCTCTTGGTAACAATTTGGCCACCAATATTTGTGGTACAACCTAGCCCACGTAGCATTAATACCCACATGTCCATGTCCGTCGTGAACATGCTTTAACAGGGCTATTCTATCTTTAGTTTTTGGAACCATAACATATATCGAAGATGAGAACCATCTATAGAGTTGTCCATCGGCCACCCGATATTTAAGGCTAAGTCTCTTAGTTCTGTCATCAAGGAAGCCGATACTTGAGGCAGGGTCAGCAAGAAAATGATATAACTTCATTAATCAAGGTTCGTACTGTACTTCTTCTGATTCTTCAACGAAAAGATTGTCAAACATTTTTTCCAAGAGTTCTTCTGCGGGCAAAGCTTTGGTAGCATCTTGGCCGGGGGTATCTTGAGAGAGCATTGCTCGAACAATTCTTTTTACCACTAATGTGATGAACAGTGAACGTGAATTCTTGTGTAGATAAAATCCATCTTTGCAGTTTTTGAGATGGTTCCACCTTTTTGTATAGGTACGCCATGGACATTGAATCCGTGAACAATTCGAATTGCTTGTCTAAAATATATTTTCTCAACTTCTCTAGGGCAAAGATGACAGCCAAACATTCCTTTTCCAGAATGTGTAGACGAGTTCCAGCGGGGTGCATTTTTCGTGAAACGAAACAAACTGGCGATTCTCTACCTTCATCATCGACTTGAGTTAAGGGGGCACCAATTGCAACTTCGCTGGCCTCCGTGTACAATCTATACGTAGCGGTAGGCGACGGTAGGGCAAGCAAGGTAGCTTTCTTCAACGACTCCTTTAACCTCACAAAAGCAATTTCTTGGTCTTCACTCCATTTAAATGGAATTCCTTTCTTCAATAATTCATTTAACGGCGCAGCTATATCCGAAAACTGGTGTAGGTGACGACGATAGAAACCACACAGATTTACAAAAGCACGAATGTCAGTAGTGTTCCTTGGACGAGGAAAGTCCATGATCGAATCTACCTTAGTTTCCGAAGGCCTAACGGTGTTGTTACTGATGACAAAACCTAGCAGCTTGATTTCGTGTTGTACGAACTCACACTTCTCGGAATTCAGAACCATGTTGCATTCAGCCAGCCGTTCCAAGAACTTTTCAATATACCCAAGATGTTCTTCTTTGTTCTTTGAATAAATAATAACATCATCCATAAACGCCGTGGCCCATGTTGGAAAAGGTTGTATGAGTAAATGCACACATCGAGCGTACGCATGCGGAGCGTTCAACAATCCAAAAGGAAGTAGTTTGTAACTGTAATTTCCGAAATGCGTGGCAATAGTTAATTTAGGCACACTTGTCTCTTCCACTTCAATGGCATGAAACTCTTTGAGCATATCACACGAGGAAAACCAATTGCTACCAGACAGCGTTTCCATTACATCGACTACAGAAAATAAAGGCCAGGTGTCTCGTTTAGTTACTGCATTCAGACTCGAAAAGTTGACGATCAACCGCTTTTGCCCATTTGCCTTTTTGACATAACGACAAGGGAAGCCCCAACCTCTATATGCAGCATTGTTTAACGAATGCGAAGTAGGCATGAGGATCCCAGCTTAAATCATTTTCTTAATATCTTCTTTCATGTATTCCCGTTCTGAAAAGGAGAGAAAATGGTAACGTCGATTATAGATTGGAGCAGCGTCACCAGTTTCGACGCAAAACTTGATTAAATTGGTGATTTTAAGATCATCATACTCGGTACCGAAACTAGTGTGGTGTTTTTCTAGCATCTCAATGATCTTGCGCATTTCTTCTTCATCCAATAAGACATTTTGTAAGATGTTCTTGCAAAGCGGACCTAACTTAGGAAAGGGAGAGTAGTGAACTTGTTTATCCGATTTGTCTTCAGCTAACATGGAGAACTCCTTTTCGATGACCTTTTCTTCGATAGGTACTAACAAGAAAAATTCCTCTTCGTCATTTTTCTGGAGCTCGTAATCGTCGGGAATATCAGATTCGTTTGAAAAATCATCATCATCCTGATCTCTTTCCTTTGCAGATAGGTTACTTTTCTTGGTGCACCAAACGTCGATAGGTATTTTGCCCACGGTGGTGGAGATCTAAAAACTGTGATCGGTCCAATCATTTTCAAGATGAAATCATATTGATTTCTCACGTCATAGCAATATGCATCGACGTTTACAACTGCAAGATTCGATAGTTCTACCCGAAGACCTCTGACCTTTCCCAACGGGGACCTGGCTATACCATCAGCAAACGTCATCGACATTTGTTCATACTCTTCTAGTTCATGGATTCCTAGTTTTTGTACTAAATCAATGCTGACAATATATAATGTGCACACTGTGTCCAATAGCAATTCACAATTGACTTCATTTACTTTTCCACCCACTCTTGGGGCACCACGTCCCTTGGGAATGTTCTTCAAGCATTTATCATCCAACGGCACCAAGGTATAATGAGATCCTTCCGCTAACATGATTGACGATTCCTTTCCATTCGTAGCATCAGGGTGAGTGAGCAATTTCTTAACTTGCGACTGTACTGGAGTACACAAACTTGACAACTGGGATAACGAGATTTGGAAAAACGGATCGTGCAACAATTTTGAAACTACCTGATTCACCACTTGTTTGTTTATGTCATGCTTATCCTTTGTTGTAGACTTCATTGGATTGAACGGGTGAGTTGGAGCCGGTGGAACTGGTGTTTTTGTTTGTTTGTTATTAGAACCAGAAGCAGTTTCAGCCGTTGTTTTCTCATTAAGCCCACTTTCTTTAGAACCAACACTTGAAACAGATAGTTTTCTCACACGATGTGGAACAGGGACTTTAATATATTTGTTTCCCGAACGAGAAATTCTTTCATTTTTATTTTCAGTTAAAGGTTTTTTAAATGGGTCTTCAGCGGGTTTCGGTACGGCCATCAATCCTTCCTCCGCGAGAAGACCAGAACTTTTCTTACTTGTATCCTTTTGATTTACAAGGACACCATTCTTCTTGTACAAGGGGCATTGGTAATGTCGGTGGTTAGGGTCCTTACAAATTTTGCAAGGATTGTTGCAATTAGATACCACATGACCATTTTCGTTACAGCTTAAACACTTGAATATTGGCTTGGAGGGTTTAGGGTCTTGGTTATTATTATTTTTAAAAAGTTCCATCATTTGCGCTATCATAAGTGTCATGGGATCCGTGTTGTTTGCCATTGGTTTAGCTTGGGTTTTATTTGGTTGAATCATCGGTTCGTAATCGCTGTCGGATTCGTCGTCGATTTCATCTACCATATCTTTAAGGAGCTTGAGAGTCGTGATTTTAGCTAAATTGAATTCACGCTTTATACCTCTTGCATTGATTCCTCGGATGAAAGGTCTGATCAGGGTTTCTTCAGACAAAAACACCAGTGGTAGCTGTACATCTTGGGAGTCAATCACCCCAGGTGATACAGAGGGGGACGGTAGATCATAATGTGTAACTTCTTCTATTGTCTTCTCTGTTGTGCCATTAAAATTTACGGCCTTGTCATACTTTAGTTTAAGTTTGGTAAATCTCTCCATATACGTTTTCAGAGTTTCCTTAGGTTTCATCTGCAGATTCAGCAGAGAGGTAATCAACTGCGGAATATCTACACGTTTCATGTATTTAGCTGTAAATTCCGTTTCGAATGTTTTGAAATCAGAGAAATTCTTCTCTAGACACCATCTAGCCATTTCTTGTGGCAGGTACTTGTTCAATGCTAAAATTTTGATTTCATCATCCCACTTGTTGGCTTTCGCGACGCGGTTGTACATTTCCAACCATACTTTAACGTCATCATTTGCTGTCAGGACAGGCGGTACAACTAGAAAGTGATTCATTTACTATACACTTCTTTTGAGTTTTCAATTTGTTCAGAAAGCTCCTATTTTACAGATTGGAATATGGCTGTTGTTAGGAAGCTTCTGATAGAAGGCACCAATGATTTATTTGGACTTGTTATTTGGGTTTTTAAACAGCGTTTATTTTATAAAATTTAAAGAACCAACTAGGAACATAAAAGAATTATTATACGGACCTAATTGAACATGTATGTGAGGGGTCTTACCACTTGTTGGTTAATTAAAAATAAGGATTAAAACACCAAACAGAACGCTTTGTAATGATAGAAATAAAGAAAGTAAACAAAAAAAAAAGAATGAGGGATAAAATATAAAAAAAAAGGATTGCGCTTTATCGAAATCACATCATGAAACACAAGCTTTTGATAGCTGAGTTAAACACATACAAAAAAAAGGGATAAAGTGACGTAACATAAATCAACGCACGCCTTTAAATACCCGAATACTTTCACCAAGCCACAAAAACTACAGCAAGAATCTTTAAATCTTAAAAATTAAGTGGAGAAAAAACACCCGAATTTTTTTTTTGGCTGTGGAGCTGACTGAGAATCGAAAAATCTTACAGATTAAGTGGGTGATTTTTGGCTTGAAAATAAAGAGGCTGACTGAGAATCGAAAAATCTTAAAATTTAAGTGAGGGACTGACTGAAAGTCAAAAAATCTTACAGATTAAGTGGAATTTGACTTACCAAAAAAAAAAAAAAAAAAAAAACCAAAAAATAGCATATGTATAGTTTTTATTGGACATTTAAGTTTACTTTGGAACCAAAGGCTCATCCAAAAGACTTAGAAAAAGAGGGCGTTTGATCTAACGCTTGAATATACGTAGTCATTGGCCTCAAAACACCGGTGCAGAAGCTCTATGGTTGCTTTGGTCATTAAAAATCTACATGCTGTTCCTCTCTTGTTTTTCTTTTGAAATAAGAAAGCTCTTATTTTATCCTCAAAACTGTCGTCTACTTCACCTAAGACCATGTCCTCGGGTAAATCATCCTTATCATGGCCGAGAAGCATTGTCATGACTTGATCATGTTTATAATTCTTCTTGATGTTCGAAGGAAAAACGAGGTGAAGAAAGTCCAAAACAATTGTAAGGATTGCGTGGCGACTGTAATAAGTGTCAGGAAGTTTTGCGTCGCTTCTGACAAAGCTGTACAGTTCTGCCATATCATCATAATAATTGCTCATATGATACTTGCGAGCATCCCTGATCATTTGAGGTTTGCCACCTGGTAACTTCGCAAGCTCCTCGTCAAAATCAACAAAAAGTGTTCTTAGTATTTTAGCACGCGTGGTTACGACTGCTTCAGCCATCATCTTCTTTGATAGTACTTCTTGTTGCGGATTTGCGTAGCTGTTAATACTGATTCTTGAGTTAACAAAGCCTTGTCAGCCTTCTTCTTCTCGTAGTATCTTGTGTTGGCGCCACAACGTCCAACTTTGTAACTACGGCCTTTAATGGTCACTACTTTAGTCCGGTGTTGTTTAGTCATATGCTTAAACAAGTTACTTCTGCTACTGAAGCTGCATGGACAATCACGGCATTTAAGTTCTCCAGGTTCAAAGTCGTCTTGGTGCATTTTCACCACCAATCTCTCCCGTTGTTCTTTGTATCTTGCAGCACTCGCGGCAAAAGCAATATTATCCCTTTCACGCTCTTCAGGGGATCTCTTGTCTATTCTTGGAGGTAAGTAAAGACCGCTGGTACCAGTTGAAAGGATGTTGTTTGACATTTTAAATAGATAAGTTATTAGATTCAAGAAGAAAAGTGAGAGATTTTTTTGTATATTATATTTCATGAATAGATACTGCAGTATTCTAACTACCAACACCAATGATAAGAGAGAGAATCAAAAAAGAGATATTCTACATTGATAATAATAGAAAGGAACCATCCAGCACCAATAAAAAAACAAGAAGTAAATCAAGGCACCAATGGCAGAAAAAAGACCAGGGAACCAATCATTACTCCTAAAAAAAAAAAAAAAAAAAAAAAAAGGAACCCCGATATATCAAGCAAAAGTAAATACTTTTGAAATGTAATAAAGAACATTGTATGGCATCGATAATTCAACTTAGTACGATATAAACCTTTGATGCTATTTACTTTCAAAAGCAAAGTTTTAATTAATACAATAGATATTTGAAAGTTACATTTTTTATTGCATAATAGACATTTAAAACCCAATCCGGCCCAATAACAGAATTTATAAAATTTCCTTTTTCATTTCTGCAAGACTATATAAAATCGTACTTCACATTAACTGATTTCTCCTTTTTCAACTTACCTTTCCTATTAATTTTATAAAATGTCAATGAACATCCAATCTTATTCTCCTATTCCTGTTACTGTAACAGTTCCTATCGAGACCTACAAAGCTGTAATTCAAGAAGCTGTTTCCAAGCATGGTGTTAAATGGAATTTCAGCAAACATCAAGATGCCCCTACTAGAAACTTGAATGGTAGACAAAGACAGCCAACCTATGTCTTCAGAGAATACTATGTATGTCATCGTTCAGGATCTAAAAGAGTACATGCTGGTGTTGTTCTAGGTGGTGCTTCCGGCCAGGTACGCGGCTTGCAGAAGAGAAGCAAGAAGATCAACTGCCCAGCCACTTTGAAGGTCGTCTGTTTGCCAAGTGATCCTTCAATGGTTACAATTACTCATTCTGATAACCACAACCATGAAGTTGGAAGTAGCGAATTGTCATTTTTACCTGTATCAGTCTCCGTAAGGGCTTTGGTCGAGGAGCGTCTCCGGGAAGGCTATAGTCAAAGAGAAACCAGAGTGAACATTCCAAAGAAATTTAATGTCTCACATTAGAAATAATGTTCTTGCTGGTGATAGCACCCACCGTGATACTTTGATCCATGCTGATGAAGTCTACAGCATCTACAAAAGAATTCAAGAAGCAAGCTATCAAAGACATCAAAATCAACACCAGTCTGTCCGTGCTTGGTTAAGCGAGCTTCAACAAGAGAATTTCGAGACTTTTGAAGGCCGCGATTTCATGGATTCGTTTCCTTTCGGTTTTATTTCCCCTTTCCAGAAGAATCTCCTACTTCAAGCTCGTAGTGTATGTCTTGACGCCACCCACAGCACTACCAGTTTTTCCAACGGAATCCTATATACGATTGTCACGCGCCATCCCTTGACTGGTACTGGTTGTCCTGTTGCGTTCTTTTTCACCATCGATCAGTCCATGGGTCCATTGGCTAACTTCTTGAGGTTCCTGAGAAATCAAGTTGGGATCTTGAACATCGAGAAGATCACAATCGATGTAAGTAGTACTGAGTTGGGTGCGATTGAAGCAGTATACCCTTCGGCAAGTGTACAATGGTGTTTGTTTCATGTGGCAAGAGCTTGGACAGGGAAGATCCGACAATTGGTCAAGCCTGGTGATACCCATCACAACAACACGGTTCAGAACAAGATCATTGCGGATCTGAAGGCAATGATGTGGGAACGTGACAGACCTGTCTTCACAAGAAAACTGACAGCATTCATCACCGTATACTCCGAGTATCGCGATTTTTTGCAGTACTTCAAAAGTCGGTACCTGGAAGACGATGCGTTCATGCGATGGTCCGCCGCATACCAACCGGCCATGTACACTAATATGGAGACGAATAACTACGTGGAGAGTTGGCACAACCAATTGAAGACTACTTATCTTGGCAGAAAAAGAAACCGTAGAGTTGATCGACTGGTGTTTGTTTTTGTGAAGGATGTTCTGCCCGAGTATGCTAACAACATCAGTCGTATCTTCTCGAAAGTTGGAAGAATGGGTCCTGAAGAAAGACGACACCGCAAAAGAGAGATGCAGGCAGAGGCCATCAGTGCTGATGCTTTGGAACATATGATTGAAACTGCAACCACTGGTTCTGATGGTAGAAGTGTTTATGTTGTTTCTTCTTTTTCGACTTCTGGTGTAATTTATGATGTTGTGGTGGAAGATCTACAAATGATCACTTGCAGTTGCCCTGACTTCCTCTTTAACAATATCGCATGCAAACACATGTATTTGTTGAAGCGTGATATGTCCATGTTCTCTGTATTTGAAGGTAAACATAAATACTATTGAAATCTTTACGGCTTCATGTTTTTACTAACCTTTCATTAAATAGTTTCTTTCGACCTCACTTTCTCAAATATTCACCAGCCCTCTGCCGATAGTTCAAGCCTTCCTACTTCGACAGAACAAGCTTCTCCCATCACTCCAAGTAATTCCTCAACATATTTTGACACTCTGCTTTCTAGCATTCATAAACTTAAACGCCAACAATATACTTTGACCGAAACTGAGCTCGAAGAATTAAACAGCTTCAATCACTGGTTTCTCTCTCGTATCGTCTCTTCAAACATTCCTCCCAATTCTAATTTTACTACACAAAGATAACAAAAAAAATTTTTTTTTTATAATAAACGCGTGTCCCCTTCCCTCTGCCTAAAAATCAAAAGCAAAGCAGTCCTCTACTTTTAAAAACCGCTCAAAAATTCGGGTATATAAGTAAATCGCTTTTTAATGTCTACGTCATGCTTTTTAATATTTTTGGGTCGGTACTTCAAATCAACCGTGTATTAAGATTTACCCTAAAAATAAATACATCCCTTTCGTAGAAAAATCTCTATTAAAAAATGTTTAGGTCACAAAAGCACGGCAACAACAAAAAGTTTTAATGATAAAAGTAATACATAATCTAAGCAGTAGTTCGAAATAGATATTTACGACTTTCAATGTCTGACAATGTACTCATTATTCCCATTTAAATGCTCATTTTCAACAAACATTTTCCATTTCTACACTGCTCCAGTATGTCCAGTAAATGTGTCATTTTTTGCAAAAAAGGAAGCATTATTGTTTCGGGTAAATTTTTCACAGCCCACGCCTATAGGCAAGAGAATTTTTTGATTGGCTCTCCTTATTTGGAACAGTTTTGTATTTAAACCGTTACAGGGTGTTCTCAAGTAAATTATTTTAAAATATTAAAATAAATCCTTTAATTAAAATCAAAAGTCACAAAAACACAACTCCAATTTGAGAAATTGCTAAACTGTCATTGGTACATGGCACAGAGGCCAATGTTATTTTATTTCTCTCTTGTATTCTTATCAAAATAAACGTACTTTACCTTTGCCTCTACCTATTTTAAAAATGAACAACCAAAATAATGCTTCTTACCCTATTGATGGTCAGCCTGAGAGCAGCCAGAATGGAATCGTTGGACGTGGACGTGGAAGTGAAAGCCAAAATGAAGATAATTTCGAAGGCTCACAACGCTTCAGAGGATCTGGATGGGGACAAGCGGAGACGTTGTTACTTATTGAAAGGTATAATAAGCACTACCATGCTTTGGATTCGGCTAGAAGCTTGGCGGAAAAAAATGAAATTTTTGACCTTCTTGCGAGTGAATTTGATGCAGCAAATGTTGAACGTGCTCCTCGGACCGACGAACAGTTAAAAAAGCAAGTGGTCAAATATTTTGCAGGATTTCAAAAGAAATTACGCCACCCGTAATTCTACTGGACACGCAACACCCGCTCGTTCTATCATTTATGACAAGTTATATACCATTCTTAAAGACTTATCTTCATATTTTCCACCTGTCACTTATTCCTCAATTTCAGGGGAGTTCAGAACAAGAATTAAAAATGCTCCTGAGGATGATGACAATTTGGAGCCTGCGGTTGTTGGTGGTCCTAGCCAGAATACTGCCCATACAAACACTGCAGACGATGTGTTCCGTACTGTGGATACCCAACCTGCAACAGCAGGTAATGTACGTTCCAAAGGGGTCTTTGCTGTCGGTGAACAAGATCAACCTCCCACTGCAAGACGCAGATTAGAGACACCCCATGTGTCAACAGCCGCCACATCCCCACCATCAACAACAACAGCCGCCACATCCCCACCATCAACAACAACAGCCGCCACATCCCCACCATCAACAACAACAGCACCATCAGCAACACCAGCACCAACAGCACCACTAGCCCGCGCATCGGAGCCCTTTCAACCTACCCAGGTAAGAGTAGCTTCGATGTTGCCTTTACCATTGGCATCTGAACAACGCATCGAGAACAGCATGTTGCGTGTCTTGGACTGGGTGCAACAAACTCAAGCTTTGGAAACGGACACCCACTTTCAGTCCTTTCTTCAGTATAGTCGGGAGGCCAATGCTGCATTACGTGAACGTAATGATCGAGTAGCAGTACTTTTTGCTCAAAGTAACAGGGAAACGGCAAGACTTGTTGATGCGATCCTTCAGGATATGGCCAATCGAAACCAACAGGGTCAAAGTAATAATAATAATACCGATCAATAAAAATATATAATTTTGTTAAAAACACTACTGGTTTATTGTTGAGGAGGCATATAGGGGTTGATGTTCTCCCTTCTAGTTTGACCATTCCGATAGGCGGTGCTGTTGACTGACTGACTAGAACTATCCGGCCTAGCAGCAGGCTCATTGCTCGTCACATCGTTCGGGTTATCTTCTACTAATTCCAGAACAGGGTCATTCATCTCAATACACAGATTGTGTAAAATACAACAAGCTGTGATAATACCCACAGTATAGCTGGTATCCTTGATGTATATATGTTTGTTGAGGAATCTCCAGCGAGAAATAAGTATACCAAAAGCTCTTTCAATGGACATTCGAGTTGACGAATGGACTTGTTGAACTTTTTTTTGTCCAAAGCATCATCAGATCCTCCAAGGACTTCCGAAGCAGGATAAGGCACAATTATATGGTGCGATAGTGGGTCTGACGAGTCTAAAACATATTCAGTTTTTTTTGAAGATTTTATTCACGCTTATATATTTTGTGGTATTTGACAAAATATTACATAGAAAAGTAATGAGATAAAAGTATATTTTTATTAGGGGTAAAAATAGACTAAAAGAACTCTGCTGCTATGAAATAATTGATCCTTTTTATATTGCACAACTCTCCTGAGTTTTAATGATGAGTCAACCTTTCTGGTTTTGGAATAGATCTATACTTTGTTTCCCGCCTTGGGTTAAATGGATACTACTCGTTAGAATTGTTTCCAGATAACGTTGTCCGATATCAGTGGATCGGGAGCATGAGTATGCTAATAAATCTTTAGTATTACGAGACACTTATTTATCAGATCATGCAACAGTTACTGTAAAAGATGCATACTTGTTTGTCAAGTGTAATTGGCAATAGAACATAATAGTTGATCATTTATTCATTATCTTTATATTGAATAAATTACGATCTCAAATATAAAATGTCCTATCGATATTTGTATATTTGGTTGTAGAAGCTAGGTATCCATTAATTCATACACTATTTCTTTATACCCTTTATCAGCAGTATAATTATATGAATATATAAGTAAATGAACCATTTATATTAATAGCTGTTATATTCTCTCTCTGGGTAGCTAATCCATTGAGAGAACTATTAATATTAAGTTTCTCTTTCTTATAATTCTTGATTGATCAGAGAAGTTTCTCTTCTCGATCGGTGATATCGTAACTCAGTGGTATATCATTCTGTATCCAACTGTCATTCGTAAATCGTATTTAGGCCAATCATGCAATCTTTTATATAGAAGTATGTACTCGAAGTAGGAGAAGTTGTATAGCAGTATACAAGCGTATGCTGATATGCAACATCAAAGGTTGTTTTAATTTCATAGTTTATTTATTTAGACGATTTGCTTAATTATTCTTTAAGTGGATCGTACCCAAATACGACATATTTTACCTGCAAGGATATACCCATTGAAAGGAAAGTATTCTAGGGGGATTTCCAAGGCACTGTTACTATCTCACTGAGGTTGAAAGCAGCAGTATCGTGTGAACGACCTATGTCAAAACGATCAACATCATTGCATACAATTGGACAAATAATCTATTACCTGAATCACCAACCGAAATGTAAGTAAACTTAATCTTATCATCACATACTGCCGTAAGTTTTATGGCAAAGTCTCCCTTACGATCCCTCCAATCCTCGGCATGTTCCGTTCTTGATTCGAATACAAAGTTCTTGCCGTCCAAAGCTCCAACAGCTGGTAGACCCCGAACAGTGCGGCCTATACCATACTCAAAACCATGTTTAATTGCAGCGACACGCTGCTCGTCCTTGGTCCATTCGATAAGATGCTTGAATTTGTTAACAACGGCTTTTACAAAACGTTGTGTAAAGT